TTTTTGAATATTCGAATTAACTTCTGTGTAATCTGTGTGGTGAATATGTCATCAATTTACACCTTGACCTCAGAAATACATCTCAACATCATGTTTTCACATTGTAGTTCTGCGAGTCTATTTTTTACAAAAAAATACCAAGCAAAACGACAATGCACTTTTCTTATTGACCTTTAAAAAATATAACAGTGTTTATACAATTTAATTTTATTTTTCGTTTTAAAATTTATAGATACTATTTTAATTATTTAATAAATGAAAAAATTTTAGAAAGAACGTGTTATAAATACTCAACAGTATCATCAAATTTTTTCTTTATATAAGTGAAAATGATTTAATATCAAGATAAACTAAGTACGTTTTAAATCTTTGACAATTTGCAAAAAATTGTATTTGAAAATTAGAAATTTAAATTTAAATAATTTTTTTTAAATTGTTTTTTTAATAAAAATTGAATTTTTTATTAATATTCAAATAAAAATACATAAGATATCAAACAATTTTATAATTATTTCCAAACTATTTATTTATATTATTTTATATATTTCATTTGTTAATTCTGATAAAAATAAAGAACAACAATTACATTATTTAAAATGTAATTAAAAAACTTATTTTTTTATCATTACAATATGTTTATGAAAAATATAAAAACTATATTTACGTTTAAGTGTTAAAATTAAACAAAGAATATATCAAATTAAATTAAGTGAAGCTTGTACACCAAATAAACTTGATAATGGAAAATGCAATGAACTAGAACAACTTATTTCACATATAGAAGTGCATCCTTTAAAACAGGACAATCCAATTTTTGTGACACTTTGTGGGATGTTAATCTTCTTAAGACTTTCACAATTTTGAAAAGCCGAGTCGCCTATTTTTACAACACCTTTCTTTATAATAACATCTTTTAATTTAATACAGTTTTTAAACATGAAGTTTCTAACTTTTGTAATTGTAGTTGGTAGTTCAATTGAAGTGAGTGATGACAAATTGGCGAATACAAGATGCTTATCAAACCTCACACTTTCGTTCAAACAAATACTTTGAATGTTACTGCATCCCACAAAACATTGTTTTCCAATCAAACACGTTGTGTTCTTTATTTTAACACACTCGAGTGATGTCAATCCTTTAAAACAAAACTCTCTAAGTTCGTCTACGTCTTCTGGCACTTCCAATTTTGTTACACTGCAGAACTTCAGTGTCCACCGATCGTCACTTTTTACACACTTTGAAGGTACAAATTTTGGGTATTTTTCTAGATTTTTGCACTTCCACAATGCATAATCGTCAACGTCAACTTCTTTTAATGGAGATGTTATTTCTTTTAAATAAATATCACCAGCAAAGCACTTATAAGGGAGTTTTGTTATACTTTCATTCAGATGAATTGTTGTCAGTGTTGTGAAATTTTCAAAAGCGCCATACCCGATTTTAGTCAGTCCATAAGGCAGATATAAATCATTCAAAAAACACGTGCAATTTTTGAAGCAAAAGTCGCCAATTTCTTTGACTCTTCCCAAAAAATCCAAATCAAAACAATTAGATTTTCCTTGAAACGCGTTATTTTCAAGGACAAAAACGGTCTCTTCTTCCATTTTTTGCTTTTTATTAATATCAATAGTATTATTACTATTTCGACACTCCTCGTATGCTTTATTCCAAGTTTTGGTGTTTACTAAAGTTTTCCGTTCATTAAAATGAACCCCAATGCGTATTTCTTTGTACTTAAAAGCGCCAAGATGAACGTTTTGATAATACCTCTCATCTGGATACTCCTCCAATTCATCAAACTGAACGATGTAATCAACAACAACATTTTTGGGGATATGATAACGTGTCGGGTCTTTGGGATAATCTTCAAAAAATGCCAAACAAAGTGACTTGAGATAGATCGTTTCTTTTCCATAGTATAAATTGTTGTTATTTGTATCGAAAATGGAAAGTCCAGTTAAAGTGTTTGGTAGTTCAAAAATGCAATTTCTACAATCTTTTAATTGAAGGTTTTTTAATCTAAATTTATCTAAAAATACCGACTTTTTGTTTAAAATGTATTCTCCGTCAATATTTTCAATTTTCAGTGAAGTCAAATTGGTGGAACAATCACACAAAGTCTGTAAATTGCGTATTGGAATGTACTCATTGTCTTTTTGTGAACAATAAGCAACTTCTGATAACTTTTTTATATTTAACGTTTGTGGTACATATACTGGGGTTTGAGAGACTTTTAAAGGAATGGAAGCGTCAATTGGATTTTTTGTGAAGTTTAAAATTTCCATTTGCTCTGAAATTTCGAAAAATTCGATATTTTTATTTACTTTGATAATTTGATCTTCAGATTCACTTTCGTCTACTTTATTGTCACTCTCTGAATTAACAAAGAAATTAATATCAGTGACCACGTCCAAAAATGTCAATTCGTAATATTGTTGCAATGAAATTGTCACATTTTGTGAAGAGTACAATAAAATTTTATCGTCTTTGTTACATTTTACTACACATGTCACTGGTGATATCTTTAATGTTATTTCAGACTTGGTGTTGTTAATTATAACAAGCTTTTTGCACTCTATTTTTGACATGTCGATATTTTTATATTCATTCACAGTTAATGTTATTTGATCAAGTACTAACGCGTACAGTCGAGTAAACGACTCAATTTGTGATATCACTTTGTCGTCCATTTCAATTGTTGTTGGCATATTAATAACAGACACGGGTACTTTTGAAAGCATATTATTACTCACAAATTCCGTCACATTTTCATAGTTCGAAATATGACATTTCCAATTTTCATAAGTTGTGTAA